CCTAGGAAAGTGTTTGTCTTAGCTACACTATGAGTAAAGAACTGGGCCACAGCCCAAAGAGATATACTTAGGAGTCTAATAGCTAACTACGTTCTTACTCCTGTTTCCCTGTGAACAATGGACATACTTTGTAAAATTGAGAATTAAAAGGAACCAAGAAACTGTAGTTAATTCCTATCATAGGAATTCAAATGCAGTTTATGCAAGGATGTCAGCTCATCACATTGAATTGACCTTGCAAATCAGCTAACAAGATGCCATCAGAAGTAGCAAAGAGATTACATGGTGGTCACCTGTCTGCACCTTCACCAGTGATGTCTGGAATTAAAAACACTCTCTAGTACCTCATACAGAATCAAAGCAACTATGACAGTCTGGCCAGAGTACACGTATGTGTGTGTGCGCATATACACACACATCACAACAAACTATACATACAAGCTATATATATATATATAGTTTATATACAAGCTATATATATATATATATATATGGAATATATATATATATATATATAGTTTTTTGCTGCTGATATCTTTGGGCTTTATCTGTTTAGTTTTATTTCATAAAAATTCAGTTTTTATAAAAAATCTTTTCATCAGACAGTGTGCATTTAATGACATAAATGATGTAAAACTTAAGCATACTCACACTTTTGGAGGCTAAGTATAAGAAAATATCACATACATATATAGATAGATATAAAGAGGCTTAAAAATTTTGTAGAAAAAAAATCAAAGATAACGGAATTTTCCCCTGATTTATTTTGAGCCCCTTCTTATATGTGTACACACACCCATACAGCTGGCAACAGCTAGCTATACCACACTGCTCAGATAACAACAGCTAAACTTGTGTCAGCCAAATTGATTCTGTAGCTCCCTTCCTTAAATAACTATGTCCTTTTGCAGCGAATCTTCTGAATCTAGTAGTAGGTTTAGTTATCAATTGTCTGTTATTGACAAATGGGAACATTACTTCATTATATGAAATTTTACCTTCAAATAAGAATTTCCTAAATTATTTCCTGAGTCAATAAAAGCCATTTACTAAAAAAAAAAAGAAGAAAGAAGGAATGAATGGAAAAAATAAAAGAACTAGCAAAGAGAGTTGCTACAGGGATATTTTAGCACGTTTATGAAAATATCAATAAATGTTATGATTGGTCTCTGATAATATTATCTAGAGAACAAAGGATTGGTCCTGTCTCTCTAAATATAAGCTCTAGAGGATATATTCCTGTAGTATCTCTGCTCTCTCGTTAATGCCCAACCTCCCATCAGAGTCCCTTCACGTGATTCTCTCTGCTTGGAGACCCCGTCACTGGGCGCCATTCTCGGGCCCAACACACCCCTGCTCGGTTCAGGTTGTGTTTAGAGACGGGATCGCAGCTGGTGGGTCTCACGTCTCTATCTCCGCTTCGATGGAGGCAACACTCTCAGAGGCGAAACTTAACAGAAATCGTGCTTTTGCACGGAACATGGCTTTCTTCACAAGTATCCAAGTGGGTGTTTCAAATGATGGTCATGCATTACATTAAAGAACTTTGGATATGTAAATAAGTGTTAATGGACTAATTCTAAAACATTTCTTTCTTCTCATTTTAATATCTCTGATATAAGCAAGAGTCTGACAGGGCATCACTGAAAGCATCATTATTGCTTTCCCTTTCTTAATGGTACAAACACAGCGATGCATCTCACACCAACAACATCGTAGATATAATAAAAGATCAGACTTCCCAGCTGTTTCTTGAAAGGAAAGGGGGGGCGGGGCACTATCTGGATAGTAAAACAGGAATGCATGTAAAAAGCTTATGATTGACAACTTTCCCCTAAGATATAGTTTAATCTCTCCTAGCCTTTAATGCTGCTAGACAAAATTAATCTCTCCTATTCAGGGTGAATCGTTTTGTTTGTCTTTTTCCTGTTTATCATCCTCGTTTCCTCTGATATGGCATTATAGTATAATCAGGGGTAATAATCACAAAATGAAGACCTCTATTTTTTCGGACCTATTTGAAATTGAGCAGGACGATGCTTTGAGTCAAGAGCTTCATGCATTAACATATCGTGACTCCAATACAAAGGGAAAGAAACATTTCAAAAGCAAAAAGCAAGAAAAAATTTTTAAATTAAATCGGTAGAATTTGATTCCATGATGCAAATAATCCCTCCTGTCCTCATGAAGTTTGACCTATGTGGAGCTGAACTTGATTTGCTTCATTTAATCTCAAGGTCATTCCCTAGGTGGTTGGCTAATTGAGGAAAAGGAAACAAATCTTTACAGGTAGTCCTTGGCCCCAATCAGCATTCATGAGCACAAGTGGTTCAAAAACTAATTAAGATGAAAAATGGCCTAAAATGTTCTGCCAGAGGGTCTTCACAGATTATCCTCCTGTCCAACCTACTCTCCTGAATACTCTAACAAGCCCATGTCTTTTCATCTTACACGCATGTGTGTACGGTCAGAGCTGCGGAAGCTGGAACCTGCGGAAGGCAGGACTCTGTCAGAGAAGAGAAACACCCAGGTGTCACTACAGGTGTTGGAAGAGCCATCAGTCCGCACCCTGTCCCACCCAGGGTGTCCACTACAGGTGTTGGAAGAGCCATCAGTCCGCACCCTGTCCCACCCAGGGTGTCCACTACAGGTGTTAGAAGAGCCATCAGACCGCACCCTGTCCCACCCAGGGTGTCCACTACAGGTGTTGGAAGAGCCATCAG